CTGCCGGTGAGGCAAGGTTCCTGGCAATGAGGACAAGTTTCCTGGCGGTGAGTACAAGGTTCCTGGCGGTGAGGACAAGGTTTCTGCCGGTGTGGAAAAGGTTCCTGCCGTTGAGGACAAGGTTCCTGGCGGTGAGGACAAGGTTCCTGGCGGCGTGGACAAGGTTGCTGGCGGTGAGGACAAGGTTTCTGCCGGTGAGGAAAAGGTTCCTGGCGGTGAGGACAAAGTTCCTGGCGCTGTGGACAAGGTTTCTGCCGGTGAGGACAAGGTTCCTGGCGGGGAGGACAAGGTTCCTGGCGGTGTGGACAAGGTTCCTGCCGGTGAGGACAAGGTTCCTGGCAGTGTGGACAAGGTTTCTGCCAGTGAGGACAAGGTTCCTTCCTGGCGGTGAGGACAAGGTTCCTGCGGTGAGGACAAGGTTCCTGTCCTGTGAGGACGAGGTTCCTGCTGGTGAGGACAAGGTTCCTGGCGGTGAGGACAAGGTTTCTGCCGGTGCGGACAAGGTTCCTTCCTGTGAGGACAAGGTTCCTGGCCGTGAGGACAAGGTTCCTGGCGGTGAGGACAAGGTTTGTGGCGGTGAGGACAAGGTTCCTGCCGTGTGAGGGCAAGGTTCCTGGCTGTGAGGACAAGGTTCCTGGCTGTGATGACAAGGTTCCTGGCGGTGTGGACAAGGTTCCTGCCGGTGAGGACAAGGTTCCTGACGGTGTGGACAAGGTTTCTGCCGGTGAGGACAAGGTTCCTGGCTGTGTGGACAAGGTTTCTGCCGGTGAGGACAAGTTTCCTGGCGGTGAGGACAAGGTTCCTCGCGGTGAGGACAAGGTTCCTTCCTGTGAGGAGAAGTTTCCTGCTGCTGTGGACAAGGTTCCTGCCAGTGTGGACAAGGTTCCTGCCGGTGAGGACAAAGTTCCTGGCGGTGTGGACAAGGTTCCTGCCGGTGAGGACAAGGTTCCTGCCGGTGAGGACAAGGTTCCTGCCGGTGAGGACAAGGTTCCTGGCGGTGTGGACAAGGTTTCTGCCCGCGAGGACAAGGTTCCTGCCGGTGAGGACAAGGTTCCTGGCTGTGAGAACAAGGTTCCTGCCGGTGTGGACAAGGTTTCTGCCGGTGTGGACAAGGTTTCTGCCGGTGAGGACAAGGTTCCTGGCGGTGTGGACAAGGTTTCTGCCGGTGAGGACAAGGTTCCTGCCGGTGAGGACAAGGTTCCTGGCGGTGTGGACAAGGTTCCTCGCGGTGAGGACAAGGTTCCTGGCGGTGTGGACAAGGTTTCTGCCGGTGTGAACAAGGTTTCTCGCGTTGAGGACAAGGTTCCTGCCGGTGAGGACAAGGTTCCTGGCGGTGTGGACAAGGTTTCTGCCGGTGAGGACAAGGTTCCTGCCGGTGAGGACAAGGTTCCTGGCGGTGTGGACAAGGTTCCTCCCGGTGAGGACAAGGTTCCTGGCGGTGTGGACAAGGTTTCTGCCGGTGAGGACAAGGTTCCTGGCGGTGATGACAAGGTTCCTGGCGGTGAGGATAAGGTTCCTGGCGGTGAGGACAAGGTTCCTGGCGGTGAGGATAAGGTTCCTGCCGGTGAGGACAAGGTTCCTGCCGGTGAGGACAAGGTTCCTGGCTGTGAGGACAAGGTTTCTCGCGTTGAGGAAAAGGTTCCTGCCGGAGAGGACAAAGTTCCTGGCGGTGTGGACAAGGTTTCTGCCGGTGAGGAGAAGGTTCCTGGCGGTGTGGAGAAGGTTTCTGCCGGTGAGGACAAGGTTCCTGGCGGTGAGGACAAGGTTCCTGGCGGTGTGGACAAGGTTTCTGCCGGTGAGGACAAGGTTCCTGGCGGTGTGGACAAGGTTTCTGCCGGTGAGGACAAGGTTCCTGCCGGTGAGGACAAGGTTGCTGGCTGTGAGGACAAGGTTCCTGGCGGTGAGGACAAGGTTTCTGCCGGTGAGGACAAGGTTCCTGCCGGTGAGGACAAGGTTCCTGGCGGTGAGGACAAGGTTCCTGCCGGTGAGGACAAGGTTTCTGCCGGTGTGGACAAGGTTTCTGCCGGTGAGGACAAGGTTCCTGCCGGTGAGGACAAGGTTCCTGGCGGTGTGGACAAGGTTTCTGCCGGTGAGGACAAGGTTCCTGCCGGTGAGGACAAGGTTCCTGCCAGTGAGGACAAGGTTCCTGGCGGTGTGGACAAGGTTCCTGCCGGTGAGGACAAGGTTCCTGCCAGTGAGGACAAGGTTCCTGGCGGTGAGGACAAGGTTCCTGGCGGTGAGGACAAGGTTTTTCGCGTTGAGGACAAGGTTCCTGGCGGTGAGGACAAGGTTCCTGCCGGTGAGGAGAAGGTTCCTGGCGGTGAGGACAAGGTTTCTCGCGTTGATGACAAGGTTCCTGCCGGTGAGGACAAGGTTCCTGGCGGTGTGGACAAGGTTTCTGCCGGTGAGAACAAGGTTCCTGCCGGGGAGGACAAGATTCCTGGCTGTGAGGAAAAGGTTCCTGGCGGTGAGGAGAAGGTTCCTGCCAGTGAGGACAAGGTTGCTTCCTGTGAAGACAAGGTTCCTGGCTGTGAGGACAAGGCTCCTGTCGGTGTGGACAAGGTTTCTGCCGGTGAGGACAAGGTTCCTGCCGGTGAGGACAAGGTTCCTGGCGGTGAGGACAAGGTTCCTGTCGGTGAGGACAAGGTTCCTGCCGGTGAGGACAAGGTTCCTGCCGGTGAGGACAAGGTTCCTGGCGGTGAGGACAAGGTTCCTGGCGGTGAGGACAAGGTTCCTGCCGGTGAGGACAAGGTTCCTCGTGAGGACAAGGTTCCTGGCTGTGAGGACAAGGTTTCTGCCGGTGAGGACAAGGTTCCTGCCGGTGAGGACAAGGTTCCTGGCTGTGAGGAGAAGGTTCCTGGCGGTGAGGACAAGGTTTTTCGCGGTGAGGACAAGGTTCCTGGCGGTGAGGACAAGGTTCCTGCCGGTGAGGACAAGGTTCCTGGCGGTGTGGACAAGGTTCCTGGCGGTGAGGACAAGGTTTCTGGCGTTGAGGACAAGGTTCCTGCCGGTGAGGACAAGGTTCCTGGCGGTGTGGACAAGGTTTCTGCCGGTGAGGACAAGGTTCCTGGCGGTGTGGACAAGGTTCCTGGCGGTGTGGACAAGGTTCCTGCCAGTGAGGACAAGGTTCCCTCCTGTGAAGACAAGGTTCCTGCCAGTGAGGACAAGGTTCCTGGCGGTGTGGACAAGGTTTCTGCCCGCGAGGACAAGGTTCCTGCCGGTGAGGACAAGGTTCCTGGCTGTGAGAACAAGGTTCCTGCCGGTGTGGACAAGGTTTCTGCCGGTGTGGACAAGGTTTCTGCCGGTGAGGACAAGGTTCCTGGCGGTGTGGACAAGGTTCCTGGCGGTGTGGACAAGGTTCCTGCTGGTGAGGACAAGGTTTCTCGCGTTGAGGACAAGGTTCCTGCCGGTGAGGACAAGGTTCCTGGCGGTGTGGACAAGGTTTCTGCCGGTGAGGACAAGGTTCCTGGCGGTGTGGACAAGGTTTCTGCCGGTGAGGACAAGGTTCCTGCCGGTGAGGACAAGGTTCCTGGCGGTGTGGACAAGGTTCCTGGCGGTGAGGACAAGGTTCCTGCCGGTGAGGACAAGGTCCTGCCGGTGAGGACAAGGTTCCTGGCGGTGTGGACAAGGTTCCATCCCAAGGTCTCTGCCGGTGAGGACAAGGTTCCTGGCGGTGTGGACAAGGTTCCATCCTGTGAGGACAAGGTTCCTGCCGGTGAGGACAAGGTTCCTGGCTTTGTGGACAAGGTTTCTGCCGGTGAGGACAAGGTTCCTGCCGGTGAGGACAAGGTTCCTGGCTGTGTGGACAAGGTTTCTGCCGGTGAGGAGAAGGTTCCTGCCGGGGAGGACAAGGTTGCTTCCTGTGAGGACAAGGTTCCTGGCGGTGAGGACAAGGTTCCTGGCGGTGAGGACAAGGTTGCTTCCTGTGAAGACAAGGTTCCTGGCTGTGAGGACAAGGCTCCTGTCGGTGTGGACAAGGTTTCTGCCGGTGAGGACAAGGTTCCTGCCGGTGAGGACAAGGTTCCTGGCGGTGTGGACAAGGTTCCTGGCGGTGTGGACAAGGTTCCTGCCGGTGAGGACAAGGTTCCTGGCTGTGAGGACAAGGTTCCTGGCGGTGAGGACAAGGTTTCTGCCGGTGAGGACAAGGTTCCTGCCGGTGAGGACAAGGTTCCTGGCTGTGAGGACAAGGTTTCTGCCGGTGAGGACAAGGTTTTTGCCGTTGAGGACAAGGTTCCTGGCTGTGAGGAGAAGGTTCCTGGCGGTGAGGACAAGGTTCCTGGCGGTGTGGACAAGGTTCCTGGCGGTGAGGACAAGGTTCCTGCCGGTGAGGACAAGGTTCCTGGCAGTGTGGACAAGGTTCCTGGCGGTGTGGACAAGGTTTCTGCCGGTGAGGACAAGGTTCCTGGCGGTGTGGACAAGGTTCCTGGCGGTGTGGACAAGGTTCCTGCCAGTGAGGACAAGGTTCCCTCCTGTGAAAACAAGGTTCCTGCCAGTGAGGACAAGGTTCCTGGCGGTGTGGACAAGGTTTCTGCCCGCGAAGCCAAGGTTCCTGCCGGTGAGGACAAGGTTCCTGGCTGTGAGAACAAGGTTCCTGCCGGTGTGGACAAGGTTTCTGCCGGTGTGGACAAGGTTTCTGCCGGTGAGGACAAGGTTCCTGGCGGTGTGGACAAGGTTCCTGCCGGTGTGGACAAGGTTCCTGGCGGTGTGGACAAGGTTTCTGCCGGTGAGGACAAGGTTCCTGGCGGTGTGGACAAGGTTTCTGCCGGTGAGGACAAGGTTCCTGCCGGTGAGGACAAGGTTCCTGGCGGTATGGACAAGGTTCCTCGCGGTGAGGACAAGGTTCCTGGCGGTGTGGACAAGGCCTCTGCCGGTGAGGACAAGGTTCCTGGCGGTGTGGACAAGGTTCCATCCTGTGAGGACAAGGTTCCTGCCGGTGAGAACAAGGTTCCTGGCTGTGAGGATAAGGTTTTTGGCGGTGAGGACAAGGTTCCTGGAGGTGTGGACAAGGTTCCTGCCGGTGAGGACAAGGTTCCTGGCTGTGAGGACAAGGTTTATCGCGTTGAGGAAAAGGTTCCTGCCGGAGAGGACAAAGTTCCTGGCGGTGTGGACAAGGTTTCTGCCGGTGAGGAGAAGGTTCCTGGCGGTGTGGACAAGGTTCCTGCCGGTAAGGACAAGGTTCCTGCCGGTGAGGACAAGGTTCCTGGCGGTGTGGACAAGGTTTCTGCCGGTGAGAACAAGGTTCCTGGCGGTGTGGACAAGGTTCCTGCCGGTGAGGACAAGGTTCCTGCCGGTGACGACAAGGTTCCTGGCGGTGTGGACAAGGTTTCTGCCGGTGAGAACAAGGTTCCTGGCGGTGTGGACAAGGTTTCTGCCGGTGAGGACAAGGTTCCTGCCGGTGAGGACAAGGTTCCTGGCGGTGTGGACAAGGTTGCTGCCAGTGAGGACAAGGTTCCTTCCTGTGAGGACAAGGTTCCTGCCAGTGAGGACAAGGTTCCTGGCGGTGTGGACAAGGTTTCTGCCGGTGAGCACAAGGTGCCTGCCAGTGAGGACAAGGTTCCTGGCTGTGAGGACAAGGTTCCTGGCGGTGAGGACAAGGTTTTTCGCGGTGAGGACAAGGTTCCTGGCGGTGTGGACAAGGTTCCTGCCGGTGAGGACAAGGTTCCTGGCGGTGTGGACAAGGTTCCTGGCGGTGAGGACAAGGTTTCTCGCGTTGAGGACAAGGTTCCTGCCGGTGAGGACAAGGTTCCTGGCGGTGGTTTCTCGCGTTGAGGACAAGGTTCCTGCCGGTGAGGACAAGGTTCCTGGCGGTGTGGACAAGGTTTCTGCCGGTGAGAACAAGGTTCCTGCCGGGGAGGACAAGATTCCTGGCTGTGAGGACAAGGTTCCTGGCGGTGAGGAGAAGGTTCCTGCCAGTGAGGACAAGGTTGCTTCCTGTGAAGACAAGGTTCCTGGCTGTGAGGACAAGGCTCCTGTCGGTGTGGACAAGGTTTCTGCCGGTGAGGACAAGGTTCCTGCCGGTGAGGACAAGGTTCCTGGCTGTGAGGACAAGGTTCCTGGCGGTGAGGAGAAGGTTCCTGCCAGTGAGGACAAGGTTGCTTCCTGTGAGGACAAGGTTCCTGGCGGTGAGGACAAGGTTCCTGGCGGTGAGGACAAGGTTCCTGGCGGTGAGGACAAGGTTCCTGGCGGTGAGGACAAGGTTCCTGCGGTGAGGACAAGGTTCATGGCGGTGAGGACAAGGTTCCTACCGGTGAGGACAAGGTTCATGGCTGTGAGGACAAGGTTCCTACCGGTGAGGACAAGGTTCATGGCTGTGAGGACAAGGTTCCTACCGGTGAGGACAAGGTTCATGGCTGTGAGGACAAGGTTCCTACCGGTGAGGACAAGGTTCATGGCGGTGAGGACAAGGTTCCTGGCGGTGAAGGGCAATGTTCCTGGCGGTGAGAGCAATGTTCCTGGCGGTGAGGGCAAGGTTCCTGGCGGTG